GATGAAAAATCTTTATTTATAAAACCAAAGTTGGGACCATGAAATAAGTATCATATTAGCAAAGTATTATGATGACTAAATCAAATCATATAATAATTTTAATGTTATTATTATTTTAATTCAGAAATAGCGTCATTTCAAAATAACATGACGATAAATCGGACGATTTTAAGTGTAAGGAAACGTTGTGGCGATCAAATAACCTAACGATTAAGTGAAAAGACGGAGAAATCGCATTACTGTATTGTGATATTACTTGACGAAGTGGCTTACCTTCCGACATTTTCAACTACGACCATAGACAAAATAATTGAATATAGACTGTCAGCCGTGCAGTGGTTGCCATGGTTACCATATGTTCTGGCACACCGCTGGGAGCGCCGTGTAGTTACGTAGAGTGTCATAACTACATGGTGCTCCTAGCGGTGTGCGCCAGAACCTATGGTAACTACAGCTGACGGTCCATATTTAATTATTGTTGTCTATGCTACGATGTAATATGACAAAATAACATGACGCAAATCTAATATGATGGCAAAACAACATGACGACGAAGTGGAATGAGGAGGAAGTGGTGAACTATGAACTATGAAGTGGTGAAGTGTTATCTCGAAGGACGTTGGACGATGCTCATGGTTGTTTATACCTCAGCTGTTTACAGCTCTGTGAGTAGCGGTAAAACCCACTTTATCAGCTGGACATGTCACACTCCTCAAGATCCCTTTAAACCAAAAGAAAACATCCCTTGATTGAAACTAATTGATTTTCTTCTAAAAAAAAATACCCCCGCCGCAGCAAACCTGCAGACTTAGCGAATTTCCATTTGCCTGATTGGATTTAAACTAAAATGTCTCCTTAAAAATATCACATTTATTCCCTATTTAAACAGAATTAGTTTAATGAGTACTTAGGTTTGCTGCAACAGGGAGGGTAAAAAGTTTTTTTTATGTAAAATGTTAAAAGGTACTGTGGTTTAGTAAGAAATTAATGTATTTTCCAAATTTTATCAAAATATGTTCATAAACAAGCAAACTACAACAGTTGACTTATCCTCCATAAGAATAACATGGGAATTTTAAAATCACAATTTTTTTGAATTTTCTCCGTAACAATTAGGCGCATAATAACGCTTCAATATACTAAATTATTTGTTTTTTTAAGTTCTACAAAATGGTTTAAAATTAAATTGTGAAATTTTGTGTTTTTAGGGTCAAAAATGGGAAAAACCTATTTTTACCCCATAAAACCCCCCATAAACCCCCGTTCCCATAGTCCGATTATGCTGGTTCGCGAACTCATTCAAGTTTATCCCGCCTTACACCTTCAAACCAAATTTGATCAAAATCGGACAAAAATTACTCAAGTTATCGTGCGGATGGACACACACACACACACATATATTTATATATAGATATATAAAAATTTGAACGAATGGTGTTTTTGGCCTCTGGGGACATCAAAATGAAAAAGTAAATCGGTCCCGGGCCTAGGTCTTACCATGAGACCTACGGTAATAGCTACTTCCCTATAGGGAAATTCGCTAAAACAATGGAAATCGCGCCCAATGTACATGTATGTGGGGCTATTAAAAATATTTTCCTAAATTGAGAACTTATGGTTATTTGAAGAGAACCGATATGGATTATACAGTGTTTTATATTAACTTAACTAGGCCTATCTTAATTAGTTAGTCGCAGCACTACTGTCTTTGAGCGTGATGGTTTCTCAGCACTGTTTTTTTTATGAGATACCTAACCACATTTTTTATTTGTTCTATTGTATTCTCTCTTGTTATTAAAAAAAAATATTTTACTTGTTAGTTTTAAAAGAGGGTTTCTCTCATATGCTATTATAGAAATACTGAATAACAAATTGTAATTGTAACATTGTACAGTATTGTAAAACATATTTTGGGAATAAAAATCTTCTTGATTTTAAACATGAGAATTGATGTAACTGGGCTTCTATACTTAAAACATAAACATCTGGTTTTGAAAGTTTTTTGACAGTTCCATTTAAATAGTATTAAATACGTGTACATGTTTACTTTCGGTCTAGTGACGTAATTTGTTTATGTTTACGAGCCATACCGTTTCTGTTCTTATATCCGTGATGGCACCCAAAGTTTTAACAAAATAACTAAACAAATGTGTTATATTGATTAATAATTTAACCAAAAACCTATTTGTAAAGACGCAGAGTCTAGTTTGTGCATCTTCCATCCTAGAGATAATTTCAGAAAACATATTCTATGTTGAATGTAGTAATTTGATTAATTATTTGAAGTAATTTAGTATAAAAAAAATCAACGATTGTTTATAAACATAACTAAACTACATCCCTGAACATAGTGGTTTAGGTCAATCGCGAACATGTTTGACCCTGAAAGAAAACCATACCAAATAATTTATTAGTCTTTGATCTAATGTTATATGTCGATATTTTACAACAATCTTTTCAAATCTAGATCTAACATATGCGTGCGTTCTTAGGTTATCAATTATTTGAAAAATAGTTGCAAATAAAAATACATTTGATATTTACGTCAAAGAATAGATTCAGAAAACTTAGAATTAATTATTATAGAACAATAAACATAACCTCTCAGCCTGCCTGACTCAGTAAATTTGAGATTCATCGGACCAGAGAGTAAAAAGAAGAAATACAATGCTTTCTTCTTGTCTTGATCTCGGCACTAGCGCACTACTAGTATAGGTCAGTAGCGCTAATCATTAGTAGCTAAGTTCATAATGAATTTAGCTACTAAGTGACATTTAGTAAGAGGTTTAGTGTACAAAACTTGGTTTAAGTATTAATTTTAATTTATTTCAACCATTAAGTTAAACCATGTCCATGATACCACTTTTTGCCCGAAGTCCTACCAACTGAGCCACCGACTTACCTAAATCATTCATATTTTTTTTACTGATTCCACCCCTGTTGCTTAAACAAAATAGTTAGCCTAGTTGTGCTTTTGTTAGCCTAACATGCGCGCTTTTTAATCTACATAATAATATTGAATTTTAACTGCAATCTAACCCTTATAATGTTATTACTTTATCAGCAAAATACGCTGTCTCGTTCAAACCACTTAAATCTGGCTCATACAGAGTTTTATGCCGCTTCATTGAATTATCCCGGAAACACTACACAATTTTTAATTCAAACACTGTGTTGAATTAAAAACTAATGTACATGTATGATATTTAAAAATTGTATTTATTTGAAAGGCTATGTTGAAATGTACAGCTCACCTGGGTTTTAATGTTTATTGAACGAATTTCCCTGATAAATCAAGTAAAAAAATCCAATTTTAATTTACGTAAAAAATGTATAATTGTTCCTTACAGACTAAGCAAATATACTTGTCTGATTGAATTTTCACGAAAATATGTCCTTAATTGTGTTAATTATAGCTTATTTAAATAACAATAAGTTTAATGAGTACATAGGTTTTCTACTACAGGGAAGGTAATAAAGTATGTTTTAGTGAAATGTTGATAGCTTAGTATGAAATAAATATATTTGATCAAACTAAATCCATAGTCAAGAAAATTACAACGATATACTTAACCTCCATATGATTAAAATGCGAATTAAAAAAATCTATATTTCAATTGTATATATGACCATCAAACGTACATTATTGGTCCAATATACCAAACTAAGCTGTTATGTACAAAAATTTAAAATAAAGAAATTGCAAAATTTTATGTTTGGACATGTTGCGTTAAATTTTATGTTTGGACTTGTTGCGTACCCTATTACTATTGTACGGCCGGTAAGGGGGAAAACTTAACTGAGCTTTTTGAGTAAATACAGTCAATATAGTCCAGTATTTTGGAAGTCTTTTGTAGGAGGGTGGACTCACGCACATGCTTTGCAATGTATGTATTTTAGATGTTGATTTACGAGATTTGAGAGCATATCACTTATTTGAATTGGGGAATGCAACAAGTACACTATAATAAAAATAGATTTTTGCAGAAAATATTACTTTAATTTACTCGTATAGTTGGTTCTTTCACAACAAAAATTGACAATGTAAGTTAATAATTCATATGAAGTAATTCCTATCCAAATGGGAATTTTTACTCAATGTTCTAAGTATATATTTATTTAATTTATTCATACTTACGTTGAATAAATAAAGTCAGGTATTGGTGTGTACTCCTACTACAGGTTTCACCTGTACAGAAAAATACTCATTTGTGAATTTGTATGTTATTTTTAATGTTTGGAAAAATATTTCATTAATCTATTTAGTCTTAAATATCACATTTAGTCTTAAATTAATTTTTCGAAATTCATTATTTCCAACCACATTAGCTATTGTACTTTATAATTAAACGATCCAACACTATAATCACCTAGGGGTGCTGCGGCAGGGTAAGATAATATTTGTATTGTAATATTGTAATATTGCTGTGATCGTCTCAAGAAAGTGGTTAGGCTATTTGTGATATATTAGGATATTTAGGATAATAATGTAAAAATAAACTTGAATATTTGTCGTAGGAGATAGATTTTTGTCGCTTCCCTTTGTAATGGCCATTGCAATTAGACAATAATCAAGTTTTTAACACTATTTCACCTAGAGGTGCTGCGACGGGGGTGTAGTATTCTGATTTTCGTAGTTTCCCACTATATTGACCATTGTACTTAGCCAATAAATAGATTTTCAACACTATAGGCGATAACCTAGGGGCGCAGCAGCGGAGTTTATTAGTCAGATTTTTGACATTTTCAAATTGTTTTGACCATTGTACATAGCCAATAAATTAAATTTCCAACACTAGGTGCTGTGACGGGGGTGGGGTGTACTAGGCAGATTTTCGTCGTTTCTCATTCTATTGACCATTTACTTAGCCAAAAAAACAAATTTTCCAACACTATATTACCTAGGGGTGCTGCGGCGGGTTCAGTAGGCGGGTAGGGTGGGAGGAGAGGGGGTGGACCGAACCTATATAACCCTCAAGCATCGCGACGCCCGTCTCAGTAGCGTCCGGCGTCATGGCGTGCCTACACTCCTGCATAGTTCTGCTAGCAGTCGCCGTCGCAGTGGCTCTCAGCCTCGACATCGCCTCTGCCAAACGTACGTTTTCAAATTGCAGACAAAACTGAAATGGGTCGATAATCATTCACAGTTTTTTAACTCAAATTTATTTTACGGACGATTTCAAAGTTTGAATAAAGTTGGAAGTTTTGTAATTTACGTGGATGAAATAGTTTTAAGGAGAGTCTTTTGGAAGGAAGTTTGATGACTTATTAAGTAACATCAATTTAATATCATTAAATTATTTAAAAAAAGGTTTTCACGCAAAACAACTTAAAAATAATAGTCGGCACGCGAATAAGATTAAATGATTTTTGTATTTGTAGAACACCCCTAATGTAAATTCATTATTCAACAAAAATTGAATATTTTGTTTTAGTTTTTTTTTTTTTATAAACTTCCTTTAATTATGTACAGTTTAAAAAGAGTTAATGATTTATTAACAAGTTATATTATTTCTGATGGAACAAATCATTCAAACCCCTTTTATCATGGAAATACATTTTCGCCAATTTAAATTTTTATAAGAATTGAAAACAGTCATATAAGGTTAAATGTTTTATTTTCACTGGGAAGGTAAAGTACTTTATATTTCTTGCAAAGCATATATAAACAAATGAAATAAGTACTGCTCAAACATTCCCTAGTGTAACTATACTGCATTTATTTACAATAGTATTACAGTATATGAATATCTGATACTTTTTAAATCTAAAGCTTTTTTTAAATTATGTAAGGGTTGGAACAAAATTAAAAACCCTATTAACATAAAAATACGTTTTCTATAATAATCTAAGACAACCTTAAAAGTTTACAAGTGATCAAGCTCCTTTAGGAAATTTAAAACCTATTCAAAACAGCTGTACTAAATTGATTCATTGTTAAAGCATCCCCTCGTTTCGGTTAATTGCATTATTTGACAACAATTGAACTAATCTTGTTAATATCTCTACATGAATTATGTGAAATTTGGAAGAAAATTAGATTATTCATTATCTAATAAGTTATAGTTAAAATATAATCAACAACTTTATTTCCGATTAACATGAAAATAAGTTACTACTCAGTTTAAAAAGAATAGTTGACAAGCAAATGAGCTTAGCCAGAGTATTTTATTTTTACTCAGAAAGAAAATAATCTATTTTTTCTTTAAACACCTATACACATATTAATATTTACAAATATTTTGGAGCTTAACGTTAAAATAGACAGTCACACATATTTCTTTTATATTTCTTATCTTTTACTACTGTATGTATTTCTATGGATATTACTTCCTAAATGTAATTGAAAGTCTTACAATAGAGTTTTAAGAGAAGGTTTTTATCCTTAAAACTATAATCAAAAGTGAGGAAAGATTGTCAAAGCAGTTTTTGTGGACACTGCATCATTTGACAATGATAAAATTTTAATAGCTTATATTGGTATATCCATCAAGCATATAAAATATCTTCTCGATCGGGTGTCAAAATTTTAATTTTTAAAGTTTATGATTAAAATAATTCAGAATACCAGTAATTTTGGAAATGTTAATAATAATTTTACTTTCAGAAAAACGAATAATACTGCTTTAACAGCTATCGAAAACAATCTGATATAGGAAGACTTAAGGATCATGGTGTAGTTACAGTAAAACAAATTAATTATCTTCCTTCTTTTACATAAATTTAAATACTGATATTATTAACTCATCATAGGTTATATAAAATTATATTAAAAGTTTTTCCTAGGACCATAAATTATATTTTAGGCAGTTCTTCACTTTTGGTTCGTTGTGGCTACAGAACCATACGGACAATGGTTTCATAACCATTTTCTTGTAAAGTTAATTAAGTGAATGCAAGTTTTTGTTCAGTAAGTGACGGAAAGGAATCATCCGAGCAACATCAACATGATTCCAACGTTACGGTATATTATTAAGAAATAAAAATTTAATTTTAAAACTAAAAAGCTATATCTTACATTATTGTATACAGGAAGAAACCTAATGTAGCATAATTTTGCCTCAGAAGCTATTGGATTTACAAAGGTTGAAAACGATTTTATAAAAAAATATTTTAGTCAATGATATTGATTTTGGGCTTTTACGCACGTTTCATTATAATCGGAAACATGAATATAATCAATATTGATTACCAAGAGGTAGAATTGAAAACTTGCACAATTAATGATGATTGAAATGTTTGCCTTCAAAACTGAAGTCGCTGGTACGAATCTGCTGTCACGAGGGCCTAATAGCTGTAACTTGCTTTTAAACTACAAATTAACAATGCTTTAAAAAAAGTCGACTTAGATATCAAAAATTAATATCCAAACGGGGTTTAGGTGGTTCCTCATTAAAATGTACAAAAAAATGTCCCTGGAATTTCGTGGTAAATTGTAATCAAAGAAATACAATATGAATTAGGCGTATGGCAAAACAGATTTTGGAAGCAAGAGTTTAAAAGAGTTATACTTTTAACAAAGAAAATTAAACAAAAGTAATAAGAAGTACATAGTTTGTATAATAAAGTGGATTCAATCAATCTACACATTAAGGTTTTCTAAGGATATACAATTAAACATATTGATCTCAGTTGGAAATTAAAAACAAACAAAGCTATTAAATAAATGTAATATATGTTAAACAGTTGAATAATTTTAGATTGTTTGACTTTTGCATTCAATGTTCAAACTTTGTATGTATTACTAGTTTACAAAATAAATGTTCAATTAAAAAAAAAAAAAACAACACCATAATCGAGACTACAGTTTGTGATTGAAAACGTACGTAAAATTTCTAATTAAATGGAATAGTTACAATAGAATACAAATTAAATGTTTTTTATTGCTGCACACGAATTAAAACAAAACCTATATAGCCAAATAATTAGGATAAAGTAGTAAATTTATTAATATCTTTGATTATTTTATTGGAACTGTACTTAGAATTTCATTCCTAAATTTACCGATAAACAATATTATAATCCAAATTAAGGGAAAACCAATTTTTTAACAGAACAAGCTGATTTAATCCTTATACCTCATCTGGTGATCATATTCTTTTGTTTAGTTCACATTATACTAATTTTGAAATTATTTTTTAACTGAGAACTTTAAGATATTGGTTTTCAGCTACAAAACATTTTACATTAGTAAAAAAGGTTAGGTACGTGTTTTACTAATAAATCCAAAGGATAAGAATTATGCATTAACTTGAGAAATGCATGATAAAAAAAGAAACCACCAAAAACAGTTTTGAAGTTCCCATACCGTATAAATAATTTTTATACTACTATAGGGAAATTGCCTACACTGAACGTAAATGAATAGTTAGATACATTAAAAATTAAGGAGTGTTATTACTCTTTTATAATATGACTAGCTGTACCCGCGGGCTTTGCCCCGTTTATCTTCATAATTGAGCTCGTTCGCATGGCTCAATCACGTCCTGGTTTGAAGTTCGTTCGCTACGCTCAATCACTTTTAGGTTGGAGCTCGTTCGCTGCGCTCACTTGCCTTCAGGTTAGCTCGTTCGCTACGCTAACTCGCCTCCAGGTTGATGTTCGTTCGCCTCACTCACCTTTTGATTGCAAATTATCTGTTGTTATAAATGTAAAAGAAATAATAGTGCTGCACCCTGTTGGTAATCCTTGTAACTTTAATGCTATTGAACATCATAGAACAGAACCAACTTGTTTAATTGAAACAGCTGTTAAGATTCATTAATTCCATTTAAATATGAGTACTCATAAGGTTAACATGGGAAACTCCAGAGCCACTGGGGTGGAGACCGAGAGTCCGATCAGAATAAAAACAGCTTAGTTTTCCTATTTAATGCCTAAAGAATCAGTGTACCAAATTTCAGCCACCTAGGTAAATGGGAAGTAAGAGAATTAGTGATGAGTGAGTGAGTGAGTCAGTCAGTCAGTGAGTCAGTGAGGGCTTTGCCTTTTATATATATAGATTAGACCATTTAAAGACTTTTTCGAACTAAAATAAGTATTACAAATTTTTAAATTGTTAGCCACGTGCTTTTTCTAACAAAGTATACAACCACGAAATCGAAATTATGGCATTTAAATTAATTCTACGTACAGTTATTTAAGTAGTATATGTCAAATTATTTTACCAAGCGTTAATATATTCTCAGTACTTGACGACACAATCAATATATCGAATAATAAAAATTCATCAAATATTCATTCCAGTAAAACTAAACAAATACCACCTAATATCTAAAACAATAGCTATTAACAAATAATCGTTTGACGACAAATAAGTTTTAGATGGATTGGTAAAACATTAATGTTACTTTTTCTACCTTTTTTACTCATTTGTAATAATATATTGTTGTAGATGGTGGATTATAAACAGATTATATTTTACAAAATACCTAGTTTAAGTATTTTTGTACTACAATATTAAAAATTTTATAGTTTTTGATATTATTTAACAAGAAGAGAAAATATCAGTTTCAATCTGAATAAATCCAAAGTTCGTATAATGTATTCCTTGCTTTACCATTCGATCTCAAAGAAAATTTAATATCCATTAAAATTGTTTATAAATTTATAATTTTATTAGTTTATAAATTTATAATTTTATTAGTTTATAACTATTATGGTAGGGAAAAATAAGAGTTATGCGATTAATATTTTGTGCCCAATCTACTAACCTACGTTTTATATTGTCTATTAAAACATTTATAGAATTTACCAATTTATATCCCCATATATTAGTTGAATTTAAATTAATCAAAATTAAATACGAATAATTATAACTATGAAAATTATATTGCTCCAAATCTATTTCTGCTTCTGTCTAAGTTACATGGAATATTTTGATATGCCTGTTCAATGGTTCAATACCAATGCTTTATTAAGATTATATGGACCAGGACAATTAATTGCATCAAGATATGACGAGTACACAAATTCAAACTTGATCTAGTAATAGCCAGAGTCAATGTAGATAACCCACGTTCGTCTCTAGCGATCAGTAGGACCAGTTCATCACGAAGAGGAGAATCCCCACCGAGGTTTCAGTGTAAATGGATT